CTGCAGATAAATCTTGCAATTTGTTATGGACAAAACACTGAAAGAAATGCTTCTTCTCCACTGGGAGAAGCACATCAGCTCTAACAGGTCAAGTATCCATTACAGCTACAGGGCAATTTCTTTTCATCTCAAAAACAACACAAGTTAAAAGGTAAGCAGTACATCCTCTTGCGCGCACACACACACGCTTGTGTCTACTAAAACACAGCTTTTCTTTGTCTTCCATAATCCCTCTCAGACTGACCAATTTGAGCGATTTGGTTGACAGGATACAGGCTGCATGTGAAGAACATTCACATTAATGAACCTAGGTAATAACCATCATTTCCAGCAGACTAATGGTTTATGCATTTTGAAATAGCCTACAGTATTAAATCCAAATTCTTACTGGTTTTGTCACTGAAGGCTGGTGTCCAGTGACAAGCTCTTCTTCAGCTAGCAGCTCATAAGCTGCTTGGGGATGCGCTAGGCATGGCTCTGTTGCTATGCGACCACTAAAAACCAGTTTGAAGGGCATCTCTCCAGTTCAAATGTTTTTAACTTTGAGTGTTTAGAGCACCGAGCACGCTCAGCTCACTCTAAATTCCACTGTCAACAACAAAAGATTGAGAAGACAGCGCTTGAGAGGAAGGTCTCCTTCCCTACCTTAACTTCAATTTTCTTTTTATTGTCCTTTGATTTTTTTCTAAAGAGGACTTATCTTACCTCCATAAGGCACAGTCTGGACAAATAAAGGGAGGCTAGAGATAGCCCGCTACCCTTTCCCAGCCCCATTTAACCTTTTAATTTAGCAGCAGGAATTAATGTAGTGGCCACAGCCAGTATCACTTTAAACAGACACTGCCCAGGTGCCCCGAAGGCAGGGAGAATGACTCCTCTGTGGTGCATATATATATTCCTGTTAATGTGGGTGTGAGGAAGATTGTGTTTTGTCTGTTTACATGCAAGCAGTTATTAACAGAGGCGTCACATCAGTCCTACCTCGGGTGCTGTCACTCTCATTTTAGCACCATGTGACATTAGTGAGGTCAAGAAAAGAGAGACTGACAGCGAAGAGGAAGGTGAGGATTACTAAGTCAAAAAGACACCTTCATCACGACTGGCAAGGTGGGTGATGTAAGGCAAGTGGTGAGTAATGATGCACCCTGAATTCAGGTCAGTGCTCTTAGCTGAATGTTACGAAAGGAGTGAAGAAACAGGAGATAGTGATGGAGTTGGACGAAATCCTTTTTAGCCCTGAGTCACAGCAGCAAAAATATTTCTGTATCCTTTCAAAATAGCAAAAACACAAGCAAACACCTCTCAATGCTGCCATGCTGAAAACACTTATCTATATTCCAGTTTATCCACTCCTGCTCCCACGATTAGAGTGCTGGTGTAGAGACAGTCAGGAAAAAAAGGAGCAATGCTCTCTGGCCTCTAGAATGACAGAATGGCACTTTTATGATGTCTCCCAGATTATTCCCTGAGATGGATGGGCTGAGTTGGAACACCAATTGATTAATCCATCGACTGGCGGAATGTGCTGCGGCTGTCCCCCCGCTCAGCTGTTCTTTCCCCGGACAGAGCACTCAGCCAGACATGCTGGAGAGGATGACTAATGAGCGAGGCTACTGCAGATACCGTTCATGTCTGTTCGTGTATATGTGCTGTGTCCAAGATGCTTGCTTGTGTCTGGTTGATAGAGTAGATTAAATTATACAAGCATGCACAACAAACAGTCTCGGGTTCAGATGATCATCTGCAGTGGCAACATCTTTTTTTGTGTTGTTTTTTTTTACAAAAAAAGACAATGTGGGATGCTATTGAGTGAGTTTGCGGTGACACAATGGTGAAAAATTGCTAAATTTTTACAGCCAACAAATCTGACCACAACACTGTCTTCAAAGCATTGTGCATGTCATCTACCAGCAGCACAGTTTAAAAGAAACAGAGGTGGGTTTTTATCACATTAACAATAGCTGCCTGTGATGCAGACTTGCAACACTGTCAGTGACCATCAGGTCACAGCTTACTCACTGCTGGCTTGCGAAAGCATCTTCCAAACATCAATTCCTTTGAGGTGACTCTCGTCTTGCCTACCTCTGCAACTATGCATCATTAATCACGACCAGACCGACCCCATGTTTAAAAGCAGCAATCATCAGCCGTGATGCTCTTTGCAAAGGCTTCAACTTACATCACTGCTGCTTCCCCTCAAAATCCACACACTTCCAAATGTTCTCCACTGAGAGCTGACAAGGGCTAACTTTCAGTAATTACGTGGATTGTCACAAGCTGGGTGCAAGATAGATAATATTTGAAAGCACATGAATTGTTTTGTCGTTTGTTTGTTTTGCAATATATATATGAACTTTGTCAGTAAACTAGATTTACAACATGCCACAGTGCTTAAACTTGGCTGTCATTGCAAATTTAAGGACACATCCATGTGTACATTAACCTTTACCAATTCCAGTAGAATGCTCTACAGTCTATTGTAGGAAGTCAAATGCAACAGAAATTTGAATGTGGAATCATGAACAAACAATATTTAGCATAATTTATGCCAATATATGGTTTGCGCTCTGAATTCAATATCTGTAATCCATAATGCAGATGCCCTCATCCGCATTTTCACATAAAGTCTTTGTTCACCTCCTGCATTAGGGCTTCCGGCTTACCACTTCAGACCCCCTGCATCGCACTGCTAGCCCCCAATGCAAAAGGCAAGGGAGTAGATAACAGATCACTGTAACTGTTCGCTTTCTTGTTGAATGAAACCCCCTGAGAGATTTTATACCCAGAGAAGATGAAAAATGTAGGAGTAGCTTCATTATTGATACAAGTCCCTGGCAGTGAAAGGAATGAATGCTAATGGTGTCCTAAGCTGGGCTTTACAGAGATTAATCCGATTTGAGAAATGAACATTTTATTATATGGCACGAAGTGCTGGCCCTGATCTGAACTGAGTCACAGGCTGAGGAGGAAAAAAATGACAAAGGGAGTGTGGGAAGGGAACATGGGTATACAGTCTGTCACTTTGCAAGATCCTGGCACCTTATTGCAGTGGTGCCCTTTTCCAGCTGACAAGTTCATTAATTTTCTGACACGGCTGCATGGAATGATTTTCAATAGATAAGTCAGACAACAATGGCTTGAAAAATTTAACATAAAACAGATGTCTATGGTAGCAACATAATAAGCCAAAGACTTTGTGTGAGCAGCAGGAAGTCCCTCTTGGTCCTTCTGCTGCACCTGCTCTAAGGCTGTTTCCCACTGTTTAGAAGGACTAATAGGGACACACTGGGGATACAGCTGTTGTCACTCTAGCATTAGTGAAATAAACAAACACTGATCTAGAGTTTCCCAGCGAAACAGTCAGTTTTAAAATATGTTGCTCCTTATGTTGGATGGATATTTAAACAGCCTATGACATCCCAAACCTACAGCTCACAAGCATCTCCAAGAAAATCTCCACAGGGATAAGAAGGTTTGAAGAGTATTAAATGGGGAGTAGGAGTAGTCTCTCTACTTGTTAGTATGAATCACTCTGCACCAGTTGCCAACAAACAACTGCAATCTTGGGAATATGTAGGGAGGATTTATCACGCTTAAGCCTCTGACAGGGCAAAAACATAAAATCAGCAGTCTAATTTGTCTCCCCAAGGTGATGTCACTCCATCATATGGAGGGCTTTTCTTTCAGTAGTTGAATAATGTGCGCCATGTTTCTCACTTTCACTGGTGAGAGATACAATTCATTCTTTCTCTGAAAAGTGACAGCCACATCTATTTATGCTTTTACCACCAACACTGGTTTATCCAACATGACAGACATCTATTTTAAAGCTCACCTGCTGCTGAGTTGAAAAGTACTGATATTAAAAATGTAACACAAATGCTTATACTAACCATTGTTCAGGGGAAAGCTAATCCTAAAATATTCTTGATACTTTATTCAGAGAGGCAGATGAGGGGATAAATATAAATAGATAGATAAAATTCATGGATCTAATGGGGCATTATAATATATTATTCAGCCAATACAGTATGTATGTATTTATTGAACTTATAAAATGAGGTTTTTGCAGTACAACTCTGTAAACTACAACTTATTTGTTTAACTTCTTTAGACATAAACCCTCAAATGTGTCATCTGTTGCTTCGTTGCATACTAGGAAATGACTACATGCCTCATATTTCAAGCCATGGACTACAACATCTATGTCTTCTTCAGTTGAGAAATTTCAGCACCATGTAAGAAGGACAGCTCCCACACAGGCAGTGAACAAGCGCCTTCTGTGTACCATGTAAAGAAGAACAAGAAGAAAAAAAAAAACAGACCAGTGTCTGATGATATAGACAAAAGTCAAATATGCCTGATGCAAAGATGCAATCCTTGAATTTTAAATTCCAATACTAAATATTTCATTTATGTAATAATTTTTTCTCAAGGGTTACTGTAGCAGATAGCGTGCTAAATATGGCAGATTTTCAGATGTAGGCTGAGAGCATGCAGGTATTGGATGGATGAATGGGAGAATGGGTGGATGGTTTGACTGCAATTTCCTTGTGAGCATCTTACAATGAGAAAAGTAAAAGTACCCGCATATATTTACACCTGCTTTCACAAATATTTGCCTTGCTCTGTTCTGTATAAAAGCTATACTCTTTCTTTTTTTTAGTGTTCATGACATCAAAGCTTGATGCTCGTGTATTCAACTCAAGGACGCGCAGTGAAACGCAAGCAGACCCACGCGAACGCGCGCATTTCTTTTCCTTTTCTTCCAAATCAGCGCATGATTAGCGATCTTTTAGTTAGAGACAGCAGTATCAGTGAAGGTAAAGCCTTGGGAATGCTTTGCCCTGATTTAATTAATAGTATTGCAGTCATGAAAAGAAGACAAACTACAACACTGGACATCCAACAAGAATAACAGGCTGAAAAGGTAGCCTAGTTATGTTATAGGACGAAGGAGGCAATCAACACATTTTTTTACACCACAAACACTAACTTACTTGTTCCAGAAGAGAGCGGGGGCTGCAGGATCTCTGCTTTAGACGGAGAACGGTCCCTCTTCCGCTCCCTCCCCAAAAACTGCATCGAAAAAACATCCGCAATTCTCAGGCGATTTTTGCAGAATCCGTGGTGATATTTCTTTTCAGACACATTGTGTTCCCACATTCAAAACAACGTGGTATATAATCCACATATCAGTCTGGATGACATGCTATTAACTCTCACTGTGATAATAATGCACCCGATATCTCCTCTTCTTTTTCAGGACTCACACAACACGGAGGCACCCACAAGTGCCATTGTTGAAACTACTCTCCCGCTGCAAAGCAATACCCATTGTGGTCCCACATTTTCTCCAGATGTCAGGTTAATGTGGAGTAGCACTGTTTTTACTTGCTCTCAGATCTCAATTAAATGTTTCAAAATGTAACCTCTCCACAACATGTAGAGCACGGGAAACCATGTGGTCAATTTCCACGTAGATACATCCTGAAAAGCCCCTCATTAGTCTGTATGGCAGACCATCATCCATTCATTGAGGGGCAGAGGTAGGGTTATTTTAACGTCCCGCTCGCTGTCTTTCTCAAATGTAACTTTTCTTCAAGTCCCTGTTACTTCTTAGTCGTCAACCCTGCTGAATCTGATTAGATTTCACCTCACAACCCAGTGCGGATTTCAAGATGCTTATTTCTTTTTTCCCCTCCTGGTTATATCGACGAAAGAAGTCCCGCAGTTTAGTGGTTGAAAAGGTATCCCATACATTGGAGAATTTATAAAGTTGTCGAGATAAAACGATATCTCCCTCTTCTCTTTAGGCTGATCCGTTCTCCATTTTCGAGAGGAAAAATGCGTTAATCTTGGATGCAACATCGAAAAGAAAAAACATACAGCAGATATCCTCAAGAAGCCTTTAAAACCCCATCAGAAATTCAGAATTCAGGCAGCGGCTTTAAGTGTGATTAGCCTTCGTTGTAAAAAAAACAAACAAAAAAAAAAAAAACCAACGACCTAAAATTTTTACATGTTCTCCGCGCCGAGCCTTGATTCACCCTATCTGAACGTGAGTTTTACTTCACCAAAGGCAGCAGTCATCACTTCTGCGCCCTCGTTCCGTATGCATCTCGCCTATGCATTGATGTGACACATGAGGGGTAAGAAATTCGTTAAGGGTTATTATCCACAGAGTTCTGGTCGTCCAAGCTCTGTCTTCTTCTCTCCTGTCGACTGTAGTGTTTTAAGCTGCTATCACAAATTAGCCCGTTCCAATACGCGCAAGCAGGCAGCATCCATCGGTGCGCTTTACAGTACCTCAGTGCGCTCGGCATTTACGTGTCCAAATAAAACGCACGGCGCAGCATGGACAGACACTGAGGTTACCTCCCACTAACAGGCTGATCTCTCCAAGTGAGAGTGTTCCGCCAGTCACTGCTGGTGGATCGGCTGCCGTCAGCCGCAGGACTGTAGCAGTAAGGGCAGGAAATATTGTTTCCCCCCACTTTCAGTTTTCACATTTCTCTGTTTGAACGTCTAGCGCTCTAAAAATATCTTCACTGCAGGAGAGGTGAATCTCACCCAGAAGACTGGCAGTAATTAACTGATTGTTGACCTTTGGCCTTCTCATTCATTGGTCAGTTTTAATAAGGGCAAGCAAATGCAAATTATTGATTGTGCGCGGACCCACGTGTGTGTATGTGCACCAGGGAGAGAGAGAGAGACAGAGAGAGATTCATCCCATGTGTCTTTTGCAAATGGGACAGGACTGCCACCTACCGACTCCACTCGCCTGACTGTGATGGCGTGATAGTGGCCTCAGGCTGGTTGTCGCATTGGGTTACTCTCCCATGACAGACTACGTTTTGTTTGTATAGGGTTACACAGTATATACTACAACTATTTATTTTAAAACGCTGTAGGGTACAATATGAGACCTACATAATTGTTTATGGTGAAGAGAACAACATGCATGCAGTCATAGAATGGAATTAAAGCACATGAGGGGAATACTGTGACAAGTTTGGCAATCCAGGAAACAGATTACTATGTGTAATAATCTCTCTCAGGCTTCGGCACTTTAGACCCCAGTTATGAACGCTGGCTCTGTGTTATGAATTATGGAAGTTGCATATTTTTTAAGCATGGTGGCTGACACAGGAGACTTCACTTATCTTGGGCAACCTGCTGTATGGCATATATTGTGCTAAACTCAGTCATATTATACAATGTGCATAAATGGAGCTTTAAAAAAAGGATGAATTTGCATATAGTAAACTGAGAACATGTTCCATCTGGGAAGAGTATATACATCCACAGACCATGTGATAGTAGATGTGAGAAAGCATTTGAATGCCAGACCAGGGATCTGTCCATCTAGCTGTCAACATCTGATCTAATTTCCCTGTGTGCTGAAGGCGTTGCATCATTCATCAGTCTTCATAACTGTCGACCTGCCTGTCTGTGTGTCTGGCATATGGCAGTAAAGAGCACCGCCCTCTTGCTTTCCAGTCGAAGGAGACATCATTAAATAACTACATTCTTTCACTCCATTCTTCTCCCCTCACATTTTCCTCGGCTCTGGCCAAGCGAGTGAATGAAAGCTATTGACTTGCAAACCCACTTTGCTCTTTAAGATAACGGAGAAGTGTTTTTGTGTAATACCCTTTGGATCTACAGCATGTTACTGCCGAGGTCACTTTTGAGTGCTGTCTACCACAATTTGTGTCACGTTGCTGTATGACAGCCTTGCCTAATGGTTTTGATTTAAAGCTTTTACTTTTCCACCAGCATGGACTCTGTGGATCTCTGGTGACCACTCCTTTACTACTTTATGTCTTATTTGCAGTGTGGGAACCATCACTGGAGGCTATACCCTTTATCTTGATTTATGTAGCTTTTGAGACCACTGCATCTTTGCTGGCAGAAACACTTGTATCTTCAAAGTGAAGCTTTGGGATATTCAGATATTGTTGCCAGAATCCATCACCATAAACACTATATTCACATGTTAATTGTACAATGCATTATTCAACATCTTCTCAGCTAACGTGACACAATAATTTATGTTTTACAGATGTGTGCACAGGTCCTGTACACCACTGAACCATCATAGTAAAGATCACTCTGTCCTTGGAGAACGTTAAAGAGGCATTGTGCTGCCATTGTAAACAATGTGACCTTGTTCCCTGAAAGGGCAAGACACATACAAGACTCACAGTGCCAGTTATTCCTGGAGAGGCAAGGGCGAGTAAAAAACCTTACTTATGGGAAAACTCCACTATAGATTATTGGTTATGCTTTCAGCATCCTTGTAAAAATCTCTTGACATTAACAGTGTGTATTACAGAAGCAGTGGTGGTGCAGGCTTCAAAGTGATTATTTTTACCACGCCATGTTCTTCATCATCACTTTACAGAGACCTCCGTGAAAAAGGTGGTGTTCTAACAGAAGAGAGAAAAAAGCAGCAAAGTGCTATTCAGAGACGGCTTAAGGAGCATAGATCTCTTCTTTTCCCTGAGAGTATTATGTTGTCAGGGCCTGAATAATACATGTGTTAGGATGCAATTAGATAATGTAATAATCATGTTGGGTATGCCATTTAGGTCTCATCCAGTGATCAAAAGGAACATATATACACAGAGCATAGGTTTATCCAAACATCAGGAGTTAAGAACATAAGCGCAAAAGCTCCATGTGATGCACGTTTTATTATAGTGATGACAGTGATGCCATGTTACATGGGATGTGTACAAAATATACAATCTCAGCCACTCGCTCTAAGCTACAAATGTCCATGATGAGAAATACTTCTCATACTTTAAAATTTGTATCTCAGCAGTTGGGTTTGTTATTCATAGAATTTCATTGTTATTTTTATTTTTTTTAAAACAACACATTATTATACCCCTCCCTCTGTCTGATGTTCTTCTCAAAAATAGTTAAATCTAGCTGACTGAAGAGGACGTACTGTGGCACCTACAGCTGCCCCTTTTAAAGGAGGCTCTGAATACATTAATAATGTGTGTTGTTCATTTTGAGATCTGGCATTCATTATTCATGATGTTGTTTTGGAGGGTATGAGACATCACTACTGATATCCTGCAAGGCTCAGAGGCAATGAAATAATGTAGTCAGGTGTTTTGTGAGAGGTAAGATGGAGAGGAAAGTCTGTGGGCCTGCGAATGTGTCACGCGTCGCTCGTTTCCATTCTACTCTACTCTTAGTTCCACCTCAGGTTGAGTAGTTTAGGGAGCTTGTCTTTCACTGTCTAATGCTGAATATCCCTCTTTGCTTTCCCCTGTTTCCACTGCACTCGCTGTATTCACATATTTCAACCACAGAATTAGTTTAGCACACAGAGTCAGTGAGAGAAATTCCATAAACACCTCAGTGACGACGTCTCTGAGATTCAAAGCAATCCATCAAATTTCACGGACTTGTTAATTAGGTGCATCAATGTGTTTACCATCCTATTTAATCTGCACTCTGATCCACACTAAGCTCTATCTGTACTTGTTATCCAAGGCTTCCTGTGGCCCATAGGGCTCATGATTGGAGAATTAATTCTTAGTTTCCATTCTAGGTCACTATTGGCTCAGGTTCTCGGTGCACCCCTGTATCTGGGCTAAATTAAAATAATTCAAAGCATGCTTCACCCTAATAACACTCTCTAAGCCACTTCAACTGCATAATATATTGGTGAAGGAGACTGGATGACTGGTTTAGATATTGGATATTGGCTGCAGCTCATAGCAGTATCAAGAGATGAGAAGGCCTCCACTCACTGCAGGATGAATCAGTTGATAATCATTAAATAATCAATATATTACTTATCACATCATGGAGTATCATCATCTGTCAGTGGTGTCCTTGAACATGTAAACTCAAATTAGCATTAGACACACATGGGCATTCTTAATTTGTGGACACAAACATTATACTATCCAAGTGGATGTCTCTCTTTCCCTATTTGAAGTTATTCTAATGGCTTGTATATCTCTGGATATAAAAATCTTTGGAAGGAGATTTGCGAGTGAAGCTGTAAATGATTAAAGTCAAACTCTTTGTAAAATTACATTTTATATTGGCAAAAGAAAATTGAAACTTCCTCTTGTTTTAATTTGAAGGAATTTACTGTTCTAAGTCATTAATTTTCACTAGAATCAATTGTAATGATAGATCTGGTGGATATTAGATATTATAAATCATTTCAATGGATACAATTTGCTGTTTTGACTATGTCGCTCCACATGTTCTCTAAATACTCAAAAACAAAGAAAGAAAGACATAAAGCAATTTGACCTTAAGAAGGCTCCAAGCCCATGACAGCAAAGTTTGATTAATGATTTTGAAAGAGCCCCATTTCTCAAAGAGAGAACATTTCAGTGGAAGCTCTGTGACTACAGATGAAATGTTGCCAGACGAACTGCCATTTGAAAGTTTGCCACTGTTTGGCCATATGGTAAAATGCAGCCCAAGAACGTGTTGGTCTGACAAACTTTCAGCCGTTTGCACACATTTAAGTGAGGTTTGTTTGCTGAAGTGTGTGGGCAATAAGAAATTATGTATTCCTTTCAGGCTGCTCAACTTCTTTTGTGGGTCATGACTAAGTGCAAATATCAAATTTTTGTGATGCAAAGATGATGTAGGCAGTTGAAATATGCTGTGTAAAATTTGATAGAGAGGGAGGCGATAGGGGGAAAAATATTGGTGCTACTGGGCATGATGAAATCTGGTTTAGTACAATTAAGGGTCCATCCAAAATATTTATCTAAAAGTCGGTTTCTTTAGCAAACTTCGTAGTTTTTTCTCACTTTACTTGTGCACTGTGGTCCAAAGAGTTTCTTATTCAAATAACTAGAATAAAATCCCATGTCATATATGTCCATTTGCAGAAAGGTGTGTGCAAGACCTAAAATATGTTGAAAAAAATGTTAATGGGAAAATGATCAAAGCAGAAATTAAAAGTAGGGTACAGTTCAGAATGAATTTGCCAAGATTTCCTCATTTTAACATACATCTGGTGTATTCTTTGTTGGCTTAGTAGGAGACACATTAAGCCGATCCACTAAATCTGATTGTAGGACTTTGGATCTCTGGAGTACAGATCATTTCAGGGAAGAGGAAGATCAGTCATCACACAGAAAATAGTTCATTCCTTTGGCCACAAACCTGAAGATGAAAGATGTGAACATCTGCCAGAAGCTCTACATTCCTCACCATGATGAAATGCATATTGCATAGAAACATCCTCCCATGCTATTTACTGTAAATGAAAAACGTAATGAAGTATTGAGCACTTGAGACATTATCATGCTGAAGCCGGAGCTATATCCCCAACGCTTTTATTCCAAAAATTAAGCTTCAATTTACTAGTCATTAGCGGTTTCCTCAATCATTCATTACACATTTTATATCCCCAATGAATATTTTTAATGCCCTCATCTCAAAATGTAGATCCCTTTCTGCACATTCATATATCGTTTTTTTTATTTGCTGTTCATCCTATCTGTTAGGATCTATTACAGTGTAAAATATCACATCCACATAGTTGTAGAAATGGATAACGGACAAGAAAGTCAATGCCTTAAACAC